AAAGATCGATTTACTTAATAAAAACTTAGCAAAAATAATGTTTCATTGTACCGCCATTACTTTCGCCGGGGACTGTACTTTCTATAAATAAAAAATTAATATGTATGCTAGAAAAAACTTAAGTGAACTTTTAAGAATAATTAAAGCTCTTCATGAGCTGGCTTGCGAACTGGCTCATATGGAGCCTTAAGAATAATCCTAAAATGCATTAATGTTTTGGATGATTTGCACTAGTTTTTCTAAAAATTAGTTTTTATTTCAAGGCACAGTTGAATCCCGAACACCTCAGCCGGTATCATTAACACAAGAAAGAAATGAAACATTTGCCATGTCACAACCACCTTCCAAAATCAGTAAGGCAAGTGACCTTCGTGCAGGTTTCTCGCCAATTGTCTCCTTTTGCGTTTGGTCTTTTCAGTTTTTGGCACAATCAACATTTTCACAATATTTGGCAAAAATTGTGTCGTATGGCAAATGGTTTGTTTCTTAATAGATCCAATTGCAAGCATGCATGCAATGCTTTTGCAAGGTGAGAAGAGGCATGATCAGTGAGCCAGTAAAATACTATATTTTTCAACCTAATTTTTTGGGAAGGAATTTTTTGTTTTAAAAAATTTTCTGAAATCGATCTACATGATTCTTTTCTTTGTAAATACCTTTTTTTCCACGTGATGAACATTTATCATGCAATAATAAATAAATATCTTTTCCAGCCGAAGAGAACTGTTTAGGAAGAATAGATTTTGTTATTTTACATTTTAAGAAGAGCTATTTAATTTCAACCATTGAATTAATTATTGTTCTTTATATGTTCTACTAACTAAGAATGCTTTTTTGGTGGTGGAGAAGCATCTTTCTATCAACACTTCTTATGAAATCCTTTGCATATTTGTTCGCACCATATACATCAGAAATGGCTACGATGGTCTCCTTCCCACATTTGCATGGGTAATGTCTTCCTCGAAATATGTGCCACTCCTCCTTCACAGTTGTAAGTGGTCTTTCAACTTTTTTCATTGTGAAGTTATATGCTTCTATGATCCTTGGATATGTGCATCATTATAATTGGTATCTTCTTTAATTTCTTCTCCGGTTTCTTCTTCTTCATTTCTGATTACTACTGGAAGAAGTATTGTTCTGACATGAATACTTCTAATTCTCCGTCTGAATCTGAGCTTTCATATTCCGAACGAATCGGATTCATTATTTTCTTCTGATGATAGTTCTTCTCCATACTTGTGTGCCACTTCTACAGTTGCTTTTTGATCATCCCGGTAGAATGTTAACTCCAAACCACTCCAATTTACTACAGCATTTACTTTGGATAACCAATCATTTTCTAGGATAGCATTATAAGTGTTCGCTTCTGTTACGATTTCTGACAATGGAATTGTGATCCCTCCTATAGTTGGTGGTAAGTCATCTACTCCCCCAAAGGTGAAATCTTTTGTCCACTTACATTAATGATTACAATAGATGATTTTCGCGGAATTTTTACTCCTAATTTATCTAACAATCCTTTAGAAACTATAATTCCTGCTGCTCAACTATCTATAATTTTAGGAAAGCTTATTCCGTTGATGCTTGCTTTGCAGTACATTGCAGTTGATCTTATGTCTGCATTTGATTGTTCAGTCTGCGGTGTCTTCTTACTAACTCTTCTTGTTTGAGGGGTTCGTAAACTCCTAGTCAATTCCGATCTCAATTTTGGTACTGCTTGGAATAATTGCCCGAAGGTAATATCAACATTCTGCTTCTTGGTGTCGATTACCACAGAGTATAGTTGTATCAAGTTCGAAATTGGCAGTTGTATTGTATTTCTCTTTTTCCTGGGTGTTCTTTTCGTAGTCTTTTTCTTTGCTTCTTCATTATTTTCTTTAGGTTCCTTTCTTCGTTTAGAGTCACTTCTATCTGATTGTATATCCATTGCCACACCTGTTTCTTCTTAGATAGTCTTTTGTTTCTTCGTTTCTACAGGTAACATTAACTTTATTGAATTTCCTACAACCATATCCGCCAACATTGATTGTTGCTGAGTGTTATTCCGATTATTATTATTGTTTCTTGTTGCATCATTATAATTGTTGCTACCACCATTATTAATATTATTATTGTTTCTATTATTGTTACGACTATTATTGTTGTCGTTATTTCCTCCATTATTACCATTATATCTGGATAATTAATTCCTCCATGTTCAATTCTTTTAAATAATTCATAAATATGTGCTGCGAAAGCATCTACAGTTTCTCCGTGTAGTTGCTTCCGTTTCTCTAACTCTGCTGCCCACCCTTCTTCCATTGCTCTAGTTCTATATCTAGTTTGGAAACTCGGAACAAAACTTGCTGCAATTGTACCATCATTGGTGTTATCATTCCACCGGTCTATATTTCCTTTGACTTGAGTCCACCATGTAGCGGCTCCTCCTTTTAGTATTGGTACTGCCACAGCTACCTTCCGATCATTGGCTACTCTATTCGTCACAAAGGCTTGTTCTATTTCCTCCAACCATGTGATTGGGTCTTGGTCTCCTCTGTAGTATTCAGGGTACTTGACATTATTTAATTCTGTCACAGCAGGTTGTTGTGAAACTATTGCATTTACCGCTTGAGTTATTGCATTTGCCAAGTTTTGTAATTCTTGTTGATTCATTTGGACTTGATTTTGTTGTTGGTAATTAGGTTGATTAAAAAGTTGGTCGATACCAAATGTTGATTCGTCTGAGTTACAGCCTGTATCACTATCTGAGTTTGAATCACTAACTATTGTTGAGTCACTCACTACTTTCACTAGGATTATCCTCTTCTTCAATTATGGGTTCCGGAGAACTTTGAGGTGCTTTGTTTAAGACTATTTTAAAGTGGTGAGTTCTTGCTGCTACAACTCGATGGTCTTGGCAGTGTGTTAATATATTCCCTGTATCTTATACAGTGTTGTGACCAGAAACTCTTTTGGCTTCCCGAAACGTTTCGGAAAATGAACTTACACTAAGCAGAAAACTAAAACTAAGACTAAAACTAAAACTAAGCATAAACTACCAACCTAAACTAGTTTCAAGTGGTTTCAGTTAGTTTCTGTTTCGGGTCACGACACTGATCTTATATTAACTAATAGTGTTAAAGCAAGTTGTTGTAACCGTCCAAAGACTTACTCTACTAATAGTTGCTCAAAGGTGTTTATAGCATATGAGGTGCAGTCTATTGCTCGGTGTGTTTCTCTTATCCAATCTCAAAAGATTAAAAATCAAACAGAAAAGTTTCGATTAATAGGATGATAAGTTGCACAAGATATGTCACTATGTACTTGTGATATATTCCTTATGGTTAGGTACCGTTGATGTACTTGATTATGGATCTCTACATTCCCTTGTATAAGTTGTATTGTTTCTTGATCTATATTCATTCAGTCAATCCTTGTAAGGATGGTACTTTGTCAGAGATGTCTTCGAAAGGAACTTCTTCTCGAAATATAAATTCTTCCTTAATTAAGTCTTCTTCCGAATCTTCTTTTCTTGATAGTTTTCGGAATACAAATTCTATTTCTTTCTCTTCAGTTGGCCCTTGTAATTTGCAGTTTCTTTTTATATGGCCTTTAATCCGGCAGGAATAACACTTCTTATTTGGGTGAGGATTTCTAGATGGTTTTTCTACTTCTTGATAATGTAGTTTGAATAGTTGATCTGGATTCTCAGCAAAATATTTATAAACTAAATTGATAATTCGAGAATCTTTTATAGTTCTTTTAAGAATTTGTTGGTAGACACATTCAAAAACTTCTGATTTAATTAATTCAGAATTATATACTCTCAATTGCATTTAGGTTTCTTAAAATAAGAATAGTAAGAAATTTGTGTAAACTCGTAAGGTAATAAAATAAAAATAAAAATAAGAGATAAAATAATTAACCTCAAAAGGTAATATAGAATAAAAATAAAAGCTACCTCGCAAGGTAAAATTGAAAATGTAAAAAAAATAAAAATAAAGGAATTAAAATAATTCAAATAGAATAAAATTATGCAATTAAAAAGAATTCCGCAGAATTTTATCTTCCTTGGTGTAAATTTTCACAGAACCCGCACCAAGTTGTCACCGATTAAATTTGGGAGAGCGTATTTTAATTGGTGATAACAATTATTTTTGTATTTGAATAGGTTATTAACGAATTAATTTTGGTATTAGCGAATAATTTTGGTTAAGGTAAAAATGTTAAGTTTATTTAGTTTTTCTTAGTCGAAACTAATTAACTTATGACAAAGTTACTTTTACATTAGGTCGAAATTGAGTTCTTTGTATACATATTCAATTACATATGAGCCCGACGCATTAGGAGATTTCGCCCGAATTGGATGATTTCGCCCAACATTGTACGTGGGTGAATTCGCTCACCCTGGGATCATCGTCATTAATATTAATCTACATTAAATAAAGTTAAATAAATACAAACGTGCTACGTGTAAATGAATATACGAAACATTACACAAATATAAATTACAATTGGTAATTTTGCAAGTTATTAATAAATAAATAGAAATAAAAACATAATAATAAAAATATCAATAAAATTAAAATTAAATAAAATAAAATAATAATAAAAATAGAAATAAAATTTAAATTGACCCGGAATTAAGAGATTCGGCCAAAATATCTGCATCAAAGTCTAATTCCGGTAACATTAGTATTAATTGGGTGACGTGGATGTAGATTTGAGTTCTGTGGTGTCAGCCTGAGTGAAGGTGTACGTTCGATGAGCTGCGTCCTATCTAAATATAAAAAACATTATACACACATATAACTAAAGAACTTTTTGAGATAAATAATTAGTAGTTATATGTAAAATACCTTTATGAAAAACAGCAGCCCAATCAAAATCATGACTCATGAGTTTTATTTTTAATATTATTGATAACTCATCTTTTACAATTGGTAACTCATCATGGTTTATAATTTGATTAGTAGTAGTATGATTTTTGTGGCTGACAAAATAGTGAATAATTGATGATTATTATTATCATCAAATAATAGTAATTCGATAGTAGTGTTCTCATTTTTTAATGATGTAGACTTTGATGCAATAATAAAAATTTCTGTAAGAAAAAAACCTCAGAAAAAAAACCTGCAAATGAATATTATAATATAGTAAAGCATTTATAATAAATATCTTTTATTGTCTATAAAGAATTTTCACGAAACCAATTAACATGTATAATAATAAAATGAACAAGTTTTATAATTAAAGTGGGCGTTTTGTCACTCTACAATTAAAAACGATCGAGTTTTCTTATGATTATTATAATTCCTTTCCGTTTATCTTCGACATGCGCCTAAAAGTAAATAACCGTTTGCATTTTTTTTTTCTTTTCACTTTGTTCTTTTGTATGATGAATGATACACAGCCCATTCACGATCAACAATCAATTTCTTGTTTAATTAACATTAAATCGAATATTTAAAAGATCCATTTATCTGTGATTGCGAAGAATAACCAAAATTCTAAAATAACTGGTTTACTATAATTTTTTTATAAATTCCTCAACTGCATACAATTTGAAAAAAAAAACCCAAAATTTGTTAAGAATTAACTGAACAAATCAAAATGAAATTCAATATTTCTCTTCTCTTTTTGGCTATCTTTGCTGTTGTTGCTTTAGCAAGTCCAATGGATGATATCAATAACTTGAAGAAGCGAGGTATTTCATTTAACTATTGCAATAAACATCATTATAGTCAATATCATTGTTTTTTAAAAAAATACTAACTATTGGGTTTCATTTTATTTTAAATAATAAATAGTTCCGTAAGTATTATTATTACAGTCAATATCATTGTTTTTGAAAACATATTAATTATTGATTTTCATTTATTTTAAATAATAAATAGACTGGTAAGTTACTATTATTACACTCAATATTGTTGTTTTTGAAAACATATTAACTGCCAATTTTTAAATAATGAATAGCCTGTAAGTATTTTCATTATTACTATCATTAAAGCCAATATCATTGTTTTTGAAAACATATTAACTGTTAATTTTTATTTTATTTTAAATAATGAATAAGGCCGTAAGTATTTTTGTCATTACTATTATCATTGTTTTTGAAACATATTAACTGTCAATTTTTATTTTATTTTAAATAATGGATAAGGCTGTAAGTATTTTTGTCATTACTATTATCATTGTTTTTGAAACATATTAACTGTTAATTTTTATTTTATTTTAAATAATGAATAGCCTGTAAGTATTTTTGTCATTATTATTATCATTATTTTTGAAAACATATTAACTGTTAATTTTTATTTTATTTTAAATAATAAATAGCCTGTAAGTATTTTTGTCATTATTACTATCATTGTTTTTGAAAACATATTAACTGTTGATTGATTTTCGTTTTATTTTAAATAATAAATAGAAAGTAAATATTTTCATCATTACTATTATTAAAGCCAATATCATTGTTTTTGAAAACATACTAACTATTAATTTTTATTTTATATTAAATAATGAATAGGAAGTAAGTATTTTTCATAATTTACTATCATTACACTCAATATTGTTGTTTTTGAAAACATATTAACTATTAATTTTTATTTTATTTTAAATAATAAATAGCCTGTAAGTATTTTTGTCATTAT